CCCTGTATACAGATCCACATTAACTACAATCAACATATGTACGTATGTATGTATGTATACATACGATTAGGTTATAAATATTTCACCATCTGTTACTCAAAAGCCGAAATAACTACATACACACACATACATACCTACTTTTTGTCTTCTTCTCTCGCTTCCAGCGCAAGCACGCCTACCAAAAAATTTGCGTCTTATATAAAGCTTATTTTATATGATCATAATAATAATAGATTGGCGCTTACACATAAGTTAGTGTTTGGCCGAGCTTCTCCTCCGATTTGTGGCGTGCGCCTTGATGTTGTCACACAAAGCGGAGGGACCTACGGTTTTACGCCGACTCCGAACGGCGATTGTATTTTTATGAGAAGCTGTTTTTCATGGCAGAAATACACTCGGAGGTTTGCCATTGCCTGCCGAGGGACGACCGCTATTAAGAAAAAACCTTTTTTCTATATTTTTTGCGATGTTGCTTTGACCAGGGTTTGAACCCAGGCGTTGCGGAGTGGAAGCGCGCACTGCTTACCACTGCACCACAGCGCCCGACATATATGATCATAAGCTCTATAATTTAATGCCTGAAATCTGTAAGGAAAGTCAGTTGTATGAAACATTCCTTATTCCACACCTGATGTTGCCGTGTTGATGTCATCTTTCTCTGAGAGACACCCTTATGCCTAAGTCTTATAGGCCATATAAAATAAGGCTTACATAAGCCCTTAAAATAAGGCCTTACATGGAGTACAATTTCCTTATAATAAAGCTTATAGATCATATAAAATAAACGTTTGCTTCACTTTACACTTCCCGAAGGCCTTTTCATAATTAAGAAAAAATATAAAAATTAAATAAAATAAAATCTTAAATTTCATGATCCGTCTGATAGGGATTGAACCCGGGCAGCCTTGGTAGAAAGTAATGGTGATTTCGTTTCTACCAAAAAATTTTGCCCTTGCACGGTGCAAAATGTGCTTGATGTTACACTCAACCCTTTGAAAAGGCATGTTTTTGCCTTCTTGTCCTTGTCCAGCTCACTATTTCATCACATTATCATTTGAAGCAACCATCTGACTTTCAAAGCACCCATCTCCCCCGATAAAGCTTCAAAGGGCAGAAAAGGTGCCGTTTTTGCCTTACAAGAGAGTGACATTTTAAGAAACGAATACAAAATTGTTTCACCCTTGCCTTTAATTTCGAATCGAACACGAAAAGAGAAACTGGCAATCAAAAGGCGACATTTTTTGGTAGAAACGAAATCACCATAATTGTATCAACCATCTTTGCACAATCAGCTACAGCCATGCATGTAAATGTGCTTTCAAATGTTGAGTTTGAATCAACGCCACATTTCGCTGCGTTGATGTCGTCAGTTCATAAGGTTCGCCCTCTCTTTTTGAGAGACACCCTTGTGCCTAAGTCTTATAGGTCAAATAAAATAAGGTTTACATAATCCCTTATAATAAGGCATCACATGGAGTATAGTAAACTTATTATAAGGCTTATAGATACGGTGACCATATTAACCAACGTAAAATAAAGGACATTTTTTTCAAAATCATTTGGGAATTCGTACATACAACTTGTATGAAAAAAGTACCTCACCCATATCGTAATTTATATCAAATATTTGAGTTAATTATATTATTTATTTGTAAAAGTTCCCTGCATAGCGAAAAATGAAGCCAAATCCTTTTCAAGGACTTCTCAATCCTTTGTTACCAAAATGCGTTTATCATAATTCATACTGCGCGACGAAGCCAGCACACAGTGGTTCAAAATTGGAATTTAATGTTCATAATCCACCGGAGCCTTAATTTTTCAACCATTTTTTACTAAAAAGCAATAAAAAAATATTTTGGTGAACATTTTTTATAACATTTAAAATTTTTTTTTGTGTATTTTTTTGTTTTGGGTGAACCATGATAAAAACACTAGAAGGTAAAATCATTCTCTCAATTCGTCTGCCATGATTTTTTTCTGACGTTTTCAAACATTTTAAAATATATAAAATTGAAAATAAAAAAAATTAAATTGTTCACGATTGTTGTTGTTTGAGATTAAAAATGAGAATGTGTGTGTGAGCTTGAGTTAGAGTTTTAAAATTATATTGCTGGCAAACGTCAGACTGCCTCTCAATGATTTTACCTTGTAACGTTTTTATCATGGGGTGAACCATACGATTGGTTTCAACTAGTTTCTGTTATGTAACATTTATTAACTGGAACAGGAGAATACATTTTCTTCAAAACTGCTACAAAACTGCTAATCAAAAAGGTTCCTAGATAGTTCAAAAAGGGTCATCTCCGGGCTACAAGAAAAGTGGTTAGTTTTGAGCTGGGCCCTATTCCACAAAACAACTTATCAACTTTTCACTTTGCACTTATCGATTTGTATTTTATTGCAAAGTGAAAAGTGTTTCTGTTCCACAATATTCTTTGCAAATCTCACTATGCGCTGAGCTTAGTTTTGCAAAGGCTTTGCTAAGAGAGCATATTCTTGTAAAGACTTTGCACTCTCTGCAAAGTCGTTGGGCTCTCTTGCAAAGTGAGTGTGCAACAGTGTTGCCGCGAAGCATTTTTAGTGGTAGCCAAATTCCTTAAAGAAAAGGGCTAAAAAAGAGCTAAAAAAATCGTTGTGGCTAAAAAAGGTAGCTAAAATTGTTTACTTACATAATCATATATAAGTATACACGCAAACATTTTCAATAAGTAATGGTATAGAAAAACAATGAACCCTGGAAAAAAGCTAATACTTTATCCAACCAAAAACCTTTTCGTATAAAAAGGGAAATATACGCCACCAGCTTGCTGGATCGATCAAGTGATTGTACCACCAAGCTCGAAGCATATAACTTACCAGCATGCTGGTACAATATTTATTTCTTTACAAATGAGGTCGAGGAAAGATCGAAATGATTTGAGCCGAAATTTCATAATTTTTCTACCATTTTGTTAAACATTGTTTTTTTTTTTTAATTCACAACTGCAGTATCGTAAACTTAATATTCCACAAACACGGCTTTGAAATTTCCGCCAAATTATTTTTTACTTAGAAAATTTAGCTAATTTCACCACTCACGGAACCAGCACGCTGGTACAGTCATAAAATTTTCAAATAGTTTTTGTAGTCGCACCAGCAGCTGGTACAATCACACCACAAGAACATACAAGGTCAATCGACTTGATGGGCCATTTAACTAATGAAGCATATTGGGGGCCAGTTTTTCAGTGCACGGCCGAGGTTCAAACTAAGTTTAAACGCCCGATCTGGCTGGTTTAAACTAAGATCAGCCAATCAAGTGTCAGCCAGCTGTTCAATTTAAACCCAGTTTACTTAATCTGAGTTTAAACTGGCACTGAAAAACTGGCCCTGAGGGCGGCAAACTTTTTTTTTTAAACTATAGTTAAATCGTTGATAGATAAGTTAAAAAACAGCCCTAACACTTATACAGTATGTATGTATAAAAACGTAAGGAACATACAATACATATATGTCAGTCTTTCTTAGTTTAAAAATTCATCTCTTACATATATGCAAAAAAAATAGATCAAATTAAACATAAATATACAACTTTTCTATGCCCAGTATGAATAAATTCTCCAAAGGGCTAAAAAAAGGGGCTAGGGGCAATTTTAAATTTATGTGGCCAAAAAAAGTATGTGGTAGCTAAATCTAGCCACCAAAGGGCTAAAACGGCAACACTGTTGTGCAAAGTGTTCCACAAAGTGTTTAATCAACTTTGCATTTCTGTCATATCTCTAATCACTTTGCATTACTAAGGTAAAGATTTAAAATGAGCAGCAAAATAAAAATTGGAAATAAACTTGCAGTTTTGAATATAATAAAAGAAAACAAGTAAGAAAGTCTAAGTTCGGGCGGAGCCGAACATTAAATACCCGGCGCAAGTATTAAATATATGTTTATTCACCTTTCCGAAACCTTCCGCTAGATGGTAAGCCGCGGTGTATCAATTTTGAGTAAATTAGCGCCCTTCAATTTCGAAATATTGAAGTTTCAAGCATCTCTGAAATTTACCGTTATATGAGAAGCGGCCGTTATTTTAGTCCGATTTCAATCATTTTCAACGTTTTGCTTATATGTGGCAAGCACAATAACCACACCGAGTTTGGTACAAATTAGTAGAACGGTTACCGATATACATATATGTGATCATAAGTGGGCGGTGCCATGCCCATTTTCCAAAATTTTACCATAAACGTATTTCTTGGTAAAGAATTGTTGCAAGCATCAATTTTGAATAAATTAGCTTCAATATTTACTGATTTATCGAAGATTTTGTATTTCTCTAAATTACCGTTATATGGGATGGGGGCGTGGTTATTGTCCGATTTTAAAAAGTTTCGGCTATTTTTTATGCTGTACCAAGGCCAACAACTGTGCCAAGTTTGGAAGAAATTGGTGCAGCGGTTACCAAGATATACATATGTAACCATAAGTGGGCGTGGTTACGCCCATTTTCCAAAAATTTATAATATTCTTATTTGTCGTCTAAAACCTATTATAAATATCAATTTTGGGTGAATAATCTCCAGTAGTTACTAAAATATCGCAGTTTTCGTATTTCTGGAAATTACCGTTAAATGGGAAGTGGGCGTGGTTAAAGTCCGATTTCATTACCAACCTACCTTGGATTAAGGGAAACCTACATACCAAATTTCGTTGAGATATCTCAATTTTTTCTCGAGTTATCGTGTACACGGACAGACGGACAGACGGACGGACAGACAGACATGGCTTAATCGATTTCTTTTTTCATCCTGATCATTTATGTATACATTTGTCTATATCTATCTCGATTCGTTTTGGCTGTTACAAACAACCGTTATGTGAACAAAATTAATATACCCTTGTGCACAATTGCGCTCGGGTATAAAAAGACATTTTATTTGCAAATTTTCAAAACAATAAAGTAAGTATTTTTTTATAAAATTATTGTAAATTTCAAACATAATTAAGTTTATATTTCTTTTTGAAATTAGATAAACAGGCTGCCTGGGAGGATGTTTTGAAAAAAGCCCAATCCCTGCAACTGGCGTCGGCCCAAAAAACATGGACCTATGTGAGGGACAGTTTGTTTGGGCTCTGGAAGAGCCGGACATTGGTAAGTACAACAATTTATTGCCTACACATAGCAAATATTTATATTTGCCTCATTTGCTACTGTTGGAATTTATATTAATTCTTATATTGTGCAATGCTAATAACTAACAAGCATCTTGTTGACAACAACAAGACAAATCGTTATCATAGACATTGTTGTTGTGAGTTAACAGTGCGCTCAATAAACAACTCTTGCTGATTAGAAGAACGGGTATATGCACAATATAATTATTTGCTATATGTACTGTAAAAATATACCGTAAGTATTTGAATAGGCAAATATTCATTTCGCGTATGTATGTATGTACCTTGTACATACAGTGGCTTAATAAAGTTTAAATACACCTCGTTGACATGAAATATATTGTTCTGATTATTATATTTGAAAATAAGCTAATATTTTTATTTATTTTTATTTTTATTTTGTTAATTTGCAGAGTAAAAGGGATAACGCCCGAAAAACTGGATCCGGAGGGGGGAAGGACAGCGTTATGGATGAAGCTGACTTGGCCATCCTCGATATTCTGGAAACCGACTCAGCTGTGGTAGATGGATTGAATTTGCCAGAAAGTTATGAACACTCAGAAAATCTACCATCAGCTGAGTGTGATTCCAGGGTATCGATGACAGAAGAAACACCTGCCAATCCCCCTCCAAACCCAAGGAAAAGGAAGAGCTCTACTAAGTTTCCAAGTGAAACTTTGGATAGAGAGAAAAAATGTCGGCTGGAGCTCCTTGAGGTTGAGGTTTACTACAGCAAACTTTAATGCCTAAAATTGGAGAGGGAGCTCCAACTTCCACCCTCTGCCATAACCCGCGAAATTGCAGCGGCAGAAACGGAAAATATTTCGCGTTCGCGGTTGTTAATTGAGGAGTTTTGAGTTTTTTATGTATTTTTATTATTTTTTCCCATTTAGTATTTGTTTATTTTTTTGTTTTTTATTTAAAAATAAAAAATAAGTGAATTTGATATTTTTACTTTCTATATTGAAAATTGGGTTACATAAAACTTGTTACTGTTAATCTCAAACCCCAAAAGAAACAACGCTTTTGCTGAGGAAAAAGATCATAGCCAAAGGACCACTTTTATTTCACTTTAATGGTTGGCATTAGGAGAAGTATTGCAGTAGGGAAGTAACCCTTTCCATTCCACTCGCATGATCTATATTATTAAGGGCATCATTTTCTTTTTCAGCACTTTCATCTAATTCCTCGATTTCATTGTCAGTGTCTTCAAAGGGTTGCATGTTTTCACTAGCCCTTCCGATGCCACTGTAAATATTGTGTAAGATGGCACAAACAATGACTATCTTTCCTGCAAACTCAGGCCTCAGTCGCAAATAATTTAGACACGGGAATCTCTCTTTAAGAATGCCAAAACTATTTTCAATTATGCGCCG